TCATTCTTTATCAGTACTTCCACTTCTGAGGAATTTGTCTCTGGATTGGGAAATATTTCTAGAGGTAATCTAGGGTAAATCACTCTCCCCTGTACTATGGGGTGCTTTCGCGAATTCGGTATTTCCCGGCCTGTTACTTAATCTGTGGGCGATAGTCAGCTTCATTTAGAAAGCGTATCTCAGCGCGCTGACCGGACCAGGAGACGACGTCCTTGTCTTGACAGTGCACCCAGAGACCACGTGGTGAAAAGGGGACAATCAACATTGTCCTTTCCTCACATTAACCTTTCTTTTCAGACCTCCGACGAGATCTTTTCTTTTCCAGAGCCACCACCAAATGATCCTTTACAGGTTCTTACCCTCACCTCGCCACGCTCATGAACTCTCTAAGCCGACCCAAAGTGCAGGGTCATCACAGTTCTCATGCTGTCATCGCAGATTCGGTTTCTTTTACTCTTTTTACTTCCTGCTCGTCTCCTTGCATACTTGCACATCTACACGTCAAACATAAAGCACACTGTCCTATCTTTCCTTCCTCTCTCCTTCTAAGGTTCCCCTGCCTATTAAACGAGTACTGGCAGCTGATTTACCTACGCTGTAGACGTTCTTTCCTAACAAAAAGGTGAAAGCAGTTACTCAGTTGACATCGAGCTCGCTAAAGCAATACTCTTTAACTCCACATACTTCCCACTGCTCGCGACCACCGTTTAGGTGAGTTAACATTGCAGTCTGACTCTCGAAACCCCAGCCTCAGCTTTCCTCCTCACCCCGCAATGCAATAAAATCCGGAAGACGCCAGTGTCTTTTTGTAGTCTGAAATCTGAACTTTAAATGACAAGGACTAGGCATAAAACCGATGGTATTACGAGTGGTTCGCTCATATTATTAACCTGCGTCCGTTTCAGCCATAAATATGCTGTCTTCGTCTATGCCTCTTAAAACATTCAGACTCAATTCTCGAACCTCTGGTATATTCAGCATATAATAATGATTATTTATAGTATTTACTGGATTCTATATAGGCCTTCGTCAAATTCAAACATTTCATGTTCAGGTACAGTGCATTTGTTGCTATAACCATCATTCATATATAATTATATAGTCATTCTGGCTACCTATGAAAATCTCATCTGACCCTCGCTCTGAAAAATCTGATTTAAGGAAACAGGTTTTCCGGTGAAATCCTTGGACTTTTAAAATGTTTTCTGTAGTAAAAACAACATTTTGTGCATTTGACCTATAATAAGATATATATGTAACATAAAGTGTCACAAATTGTAGACCAGAAAGACAAGTTCCGTTTTATGGAACTGAATCGCTCATCTTTGCAGAAAAGTTAGAGTTACAGAAGCGGCATGGGAAGTGTCACCTTACTCTTACCACCAAACATAATGTTTTTCTTTTATAAAACTGCCAGTGGCCGGTGTCGTAAAGAATGCAGGCTGAACAAACTGCCAGAACCATTAATGCTAGGTTTAGATGCCACTGTAGGTTATTTTAGTAGGAAATGACATTAACTATGAATTCACTCGTATGACCAAATACACCATGCTTATATTTTTCTATTATATAATCATCAATCTTGAAAATGCAATACCATATGGTACGCATACAAGAGGATTTAATATTTGAACTTTATGGTACAATGTTAATGCTTATTTCACTCCTAATGAATTGAAACAAAATGAGCATGCAAGGTTAAAAGCTGAATGAGGACGTTTGGAACAATGAGAACTTATAACAGATTTAAATATGTATTTTCATTAAATGTACGTATGGTTGAGGCTGTGGTGATGGGTGCGCGCGCGCGCGCACACACACACACACACACACACACACACACACACACACACACACACACACACACACACACACACACACACACACACACACACACGTGTTCGCGCATATATGTATATGTATATATATACATATATATACAAATATATATACATTTATATATGTATGTATAGATATATATACATATATCCAACGAACTACTTGTCGCCATGTTGATATCATGAACATATGGGTCTTTATACTAGGTGGAGGGGGGTGACCAATGATCCTTCCCCAGCAGAGGCCTTGTATCCCCCTTCATTAGCCCTTCGTGCCAGCTTATAGGAAAGGGACTCGTAGGAAACGGACAGTAAGAACTCTAGCTGCGTGAGGGAGTTGTGGGATTAGTCTCTGAGCGGTGACATTGAGCGGATCTTTTCGTCGTTTGATGGTAAATATGAGGCCACAGCAAGTGTACCTGTGTGGTTTAAGACTATTTTTTTTATGTCTTATAAGATGGTGATGTCTATTTCCCTATGTATCTGTGCGTCGCCCTCAGTAACATTAAACAACTAATGTACCCTAACTATCGATTTTGTTTAGAATATGGAAAAATAAACAAAATCTATATATTATTCTTAATCTATCTTTATTTACCATTCTCCTTATCTGTATTCGTACTCTTATCTCTCCGTGTCCTTAATGATCCATCAGATTTATACTTGTCATGATTTTCATAGTGTGCACCTTGCAATTATACACATCAAGCTTTTATTTACTTATCAGTAATTGCCGTAGGGTTTTACATAACTTAATTTAACAATGTTTCCTTTCGTGCTAATCCGTGCCGTCAATATCATTTTTGAGAATGGATTTGCTGTTAGGTAATATCCCTTCCGTTCTCCTGGAAAACTTGACTTTCATTTGGCTAATTCGAGTCACTTTCACTCATGAAATCCATCCAATCGACACTTCTAAATACAAATAGAACCTTTGAATTTGACATTTTAATGCTCTAGTTATATCTCCAATTCAGATTAATTATTCACATGATTAAATATGTAAAATGAGAGAGAGAGAAATGGACAAAATGCACTCGCTCTCCACCTACAGGAACCGCGGGCTCTCGTTGTATTGTTTCCGTTGTATTGTTTTTTTGACCGAGTTTTTGTCCGTTACGTCACACCATTATACATGCATGCGCAACTCACCCTCAATGTCAACTATTCACATCCCGCGATGATAGATGGCTAGAGTCTCATCCTGTATTCATTTTCGATTTGGCCTCCCCATTGAAGCCTCTCTTTTCTTTATCGTTTGCTTCTGTGTGTGTGTCTGTTTTTGTCTCTCATTCTTTCTCTGTTGGTCAATTTGTCTGATTCGTTTGCATATTTTTTTTCACTCTCACTGTTTGGTATGTTTTTTTTTCTCTGTTGATGTGTACTCTTAACTCTTTCTCTGTTATTCTTTTTCGCTGTCTTTCGATCATTATCTAAGGCTATCTTTCCGCCACTCTTTCTCTTTGTTTGCTTATCATTATCACTGTTTGTCAAGAAGTTGTTTATCCGTCTCTTGGACAGTCTCTCTTTCCATCAATCTGCCTCTCTCACACACGTAAACAGAGGACCTAAATTAGTACTAGAAGGAAACTAAACTTCAGGATTTAAGATTTCACTTCACTCGTTCGTCTTTCACAAGTCCTTCAGGTTCGATGGTTCGGAGCAGGACCGGAATCAGACTTAGCGAGGCCCGAAGCAGTACGAAGCGTGGAAGTCCCTAATAAGACGAAACTATCAAGGTCTTTTAATCATTAACAGAAACAAACGAATAACTCGTGTATGTAACGCACAATAAATCATAAAATAATCGCCTAAATTCGGAAGCCCTTTAAAATGCTTATCCCGCGTTCGGAGACTTTCTCTAGAGTTTCGCTTGTTCGGAAAATCTAGTGAGTTGCTAATGCCGTATTAGGTTAATTGACATATAAGCCTTAGTAACTCATTATCTGCCAGTTATTAATATGCAGAGAAATACTGAGAAAGACCGTTTACTATACAAATTGTACATAAATGTATATATGTGTATATATAATGTATACATATATTGTATGTATGTATGTATATATATATTTATATGTATATATATATATATATATATATATATATATATATATATATATATTAATAACGAGCGTCATCGATTACTTGTACTCGATTCTCAGTAACTGGTTATAATTTCCAGTAATCGATAACCTAACAATTATTCCCAGAATCAAGGTTGAATTGAGGACCGTATCTATATATTTAACACAATTCACCATGACACGTTTTTTTTTTTTTTTTACTCTACAAGGTGGTGCAAGTTATGATTTGTACGAATGCTTGGTTTTAAAGTAATGATTCCTTTTTATTTATTAAGAGAGAGAGAGAGAGAGAGAGAGAGAGAGAGAGAGAGAGAGAGAGAGAGAGAGAAACTACACTAAAACCATAAATGTATATTTTAAACTTTACTGATATAGCACAGCATAATCTAATTCCAGGTGAAAGTAATCGATTACTGATCGTAAAAGTAATAGAAGCTGCAAAAAAAAAGTATTGCTCATCACTAATCTATCTATCTACCTACCCTTATATACATACCACACACACACACACACACACACACACACACACACACATATATATATATATATATATATATATATATATATATATATGTATGTATATTGTGCGTTTATGAGTTATGTATGCTAGTGTGTATATTTGTTAATATATCAATCCACACACACACACACATATATATACATACATGTATACAATATATATACATATATATACAGTGTATATATATATATATATATATATATATATATATATATATGTGTGTGTGTGTGTGTGTGTGTGTGTGTGTGTGTGTGTGTGTGTGTGTGTGTGTGCGTGTGTGTGTGCGTGTATATGTACGTGTGCGTGTGGGAATACAAACACACACACAAGCACACATGCACACACAAGACCTGTTGCTCGCCGCCCCCCGCACGCGGATCGCCGTCTCGTTGTTCCTCGTCGCCGGCAAGGTTAATCGGCGTAAGTGCACCGCCGAGCGTCTCGCCTCCTCAATCGTATTATCATTACTGGTGAAGTTCTTGTTGTCGTTACCGTCGTCCCCAAGAGTGAAGGTTCGTCGCGTTTTAAGAGGTTGATCACTTTTCGACCCGGGGGAAT